TCTTCCTCCTGCTCCTCCTCTTGCTCCTGCTTCTCCTGTTCCTCCTGCTCTCTCTCCTACTCCTGCTCCTCCTCTTGCTCTTCCTCCTCCTGCTCCTCCTGCTCCTCCTCCTGCTCCTTCTCTTCCTCATCTTCCTCTTCCGCCTTCTCTCACCTCTCTCCTCTCACCAGTGAGGCCTCCTCTGGCCACTGTATAAAACTGCAGCCCTCCCCACACATCATTTTCCTGCTATCTTTTTTCTCACTACCTCCACCTCTGACAGCCTGTCTTCCCATGCTCCGTGAAGACAAAGACTTGAGGCTGTTTTGCTCACTAGGAACCCCGGGGTCTGGAACAGTGCTTGGCACTTAGTAGTTAATAAAATTGCTGGGCTCATTTCATAATGAGCCTTGCCGCGTCCTGAGGGGACAGCTATGCCCCAAGCAAGCCATTTCCTCACAGCCTGTTTCTTGAGGCTCTTCCCAGAGTTTCCTGACTTCCTGGCCTCCCTACCATGCCTTCCTCATCCCCTCCCAGGCCGATCCTCCACTGCCCTTCAGGTCCGGGTCCTCCAGGCTCTTCTGCTCCTTCTTGCCCTTTTCACGTTCTCACCAGGTGGCCTCAGGACTCCCGCATGCGAGCTGAGCTGTCTCTCCCGAGCTTCAGACCCTCCCCTGAGCTGCCCCTACTCCTCTGCGTCTTCCCTGCAGCTCCGAGTACACAGCAGCATGCATGCTATGGCACCAGCACCGCCCTAAACACTCCCTTAAACTAAAACATAAAAGTAGGCCACAGGTAAGAAAGACTAAACTCAGAATGGCACGAGGCTTCTCACGGCAGCCCCGGCTGCTGGGTGTGTGGCGCTGTCATCGCAGCCCTCGGGAGGCGGGAGCAGGTGGATCGAGGCCAGCCTGGGCTACACAGTGAACTCACAGGGTAGATTTAGTTCACTTTGGGTGTGTGGGGGCGGGAGGAGACCGAAGAGCTGTGAAGCTCTTAGTTTTCTTTGGGCTTCAGAGTTTTAATGTGAATTATGCTGAGAAGGCCGAGCAGGAGGACACCCCACAGGACGGGGAGGACCAGACTCTTCTTCCACACCTGGGATAGAACATACAGAGGAACTGGGGTGTCTATTTTGTAATTCCAGATATCAAGGCGGAATCAAGGCAAAAGGCACTGAGATACCTGCAGGATATCTGTTTCCACCGGCAAAGAGAAAGAGAAGAGAAAGAGCGTATAAGGACCACAACTGAAACGAATCAAAAAACACCAAATATGTTTACATTCAAATCTGTTTTAGAACTTTACAGTTTGCTTTCGGAAAACATTAAGGACTCATTTTTTTGGCGGGGGGGGGAAAAAGGTAAATAAAAAGGAAAGAATCAGGGCCGGGGAGATAGCTCAGTAGAATAAGTGCTTGCCTGGCAAGCACAAGGACCTGAGTTCAATCCCTGGTCCTGCAAAAATAAAAATAAATAAATAAAAATGAGAGGACAGAATCAAGAATGTATCCTACCTTCCCCATAGGAAACTCAGAGCAGCTACTCGGTAGGTGAGGGATAATGTCTCTCACTAGACATCTTCCAGATAATAAATGAGGGGCAGTAGAAGGAAAGTACAATATTGTCTTTTGTCAGCCCTAATGAAATCATGGATTTAGACAAGGCCCATCACTGTCCGTGAATCCTAACAGACGTGTCATAACGTGTGTCTTTTGGGGAGTGTACAGTGCCACCTGGGAGGGCAACTCCAAAATAATAAGACTCCAGGCCTAATGACTACTGTGCAGGAACTACAGGGGACAAAGGACCACGTCAAACGTCACAACGGAAGCGCAAGCTAAACACACACCCAGACTCATGTATGCTCTCACACACACAAACACACACCCCAAGCAGGATTTTGTTGTTGTTGTTTGGGTTTTGACCTTTTGAGACAAGAGTCTTACCATGTAACCCAAGCTGGCCTCAAAGTCCCCGTTCTCTTCCCTTCCGAGTGCCGGGATGATAGGCACGCACCACCACGCCTGGGGAAATCGATTTTTTTTCTTTTAATCTTTTATTTATTTATTTGGTACAGGGTCTTGCTATGCAGCCCAGATGCATAGTGATCCTCCTGTCTCAGCCTCCCCCGTGCTGGCATTACAGGTGTGCGCTGCCACACCTGGTTTTGGTGGCCCGAAGCCAGCATGGTATGTGGCATCAGGGATTGGGGATTGAATCTTGTTCCTTGTATTTACCAAACAGGCACTTAAAACTGCCAAGCTATCGCCTTGATTCTTTTTTTTTTTTTTTTTCAAGAAAGCAATTACAAGGAAGAAAAGAGGTGGAGTGACCACAGATTAAAAGCAACTCAAAGGAGGTTGTGGTCCCTGCCTGTAATCCTGGCACAGGGGAGGCTGAGGCAGGAGAATCACTGCAAGTTGGAGGCCAGCCTGGGCTACAGAGTGAATACAAGACCAGCCTGAAATGCACAGTGAGACTCTGTCCAAAAAAAGAAAACAAAAGAAACAGACAAAGTAGAATTTCTCTTCCCTAGAGCAGGTCAAGGACAGTCTCATTTCCTACCCTCACCCCCAGCGACACTCCCCCTACCTCAGATTTGGCGGGAAAGAAATCCTTGGGGCTGCTTGCTTGGCAAATTCACATTTCAGGAGTCTCACTCGTAGCTAGAGGATGAAATCCTGAAGAATGGGGACAGACAGCCCTGCCTGGACTTCCCGGCCTTGCTAGAATCCAGCCACACCTCCATTCTTTTTGCCCAATCACATTTGAACACAGATGCCATGCCTCAGTTATGCCCGTGCAGTGAAGGCTCCATAACCCCCCGTGGCAACAAGGCTCAGGATTTGTGCAGAACTGAGGCACAGAGGTTCCTCTAGGGCAACCTGCCCAACAGGGCTCAGAACCTCGGCCTCTC